AAAAAAAAAAAAAAAAAAAAAAAAGAGGCACTCACTCCTTCCAGCATCTTGGCTTACATCAGATATCACTGTACGTTTTCTAAAAAAGTATTAAATGCATCCTCAACAAAAACCGGGACCCTGGTTTTTCACTATTAGGCCTGTGTTTGGCATGATACCTTACAAACTTTGTCCACTCCTTGTTTTTTTAAAAATAACTAGAGCAGGGTTTGCGAGTGGTAGGAAATAAAGTTTTTGGTTACAGTGCATTTGTTTCCAGCATACACTGTTCAGTGACACAGCCCTGGAAGGGTCTGGAGAAACAAAAACAGTAGGCTTTCCCCTCATTCCACCCTCCTACATTCCAGAATTATGCGAAGAAGAAAGACAGTAGGGGAAATAGAGTTGACCCACGGCACGTGGTGCTGAATTCCTGAAGCCCGTCTTTGGGGGCAGCCTCCATACCCTGAGGCCTGTGTGGAAGGCCGCTGGGTCCAGACCGGGAAGGGGCCTTCACCGGCCAGCACCTAGAAACGTCCTCTTTGTGAAAAAGTATCAAAGCAACCCCAAGGAGTAAAAGCAGCTGGTGACGTGTCTATAAAGTGGCTAAAAGTAAGCAGAGTTGGTGTTTTCATTGTCTTACGGGCAGTCCAGAGCTACCGTCTAGTGAACCCTCCTGTCTTTACTTGGCCCTTAGCATTCCCCAGCTAGCAATTCCAAAGTGCTCTAAGATGACTTGCTCGGGTCTGAAATGATGCCGAAAGGGCCCCGCAGTACTGGGTATTTCAAACTGCTTTTCAAAAGGATCCTAAGCCCAAAGCGTCAGGCCTGCCGAGGCAGGGAGGGCTCGGCCCTTCTCGGGCCTCAGGAGCAGTTCCCAAGGGGCCAGGGCTCTGGTCCCCAGCATCTTGGGTCACCCCCACCCCGGGTCCTGGGAGGTCGGGGGCGGGCAGGGGGCGGGGCGCGGCGGGGGCTCCGCCCCGAGGCGGGACGCGGCGCAGCACGCTCCCTCGGGGTCCCAGCGGGCGGGCACTCGGGTGGCCGCGGCGCGATGGAGGCGCCGGCGGAGCTGTTGGCCGCGCTCCCCGCGCTGGCCACCGCGCTGGCGCTGCTGCTTGCCTGGCTGCTGGTGAGGCGCGGGGCGGCCGCGAGCCCCGACCCCCCGGCGCCCGCGCCCCCGGAGTCCGCGACCCCGGCCGAGGCCAGCGGGATGCCCGCGCCGCTCGGCCCCCGTGCGGCGGAGCCGGCAGCCGCGCCCGAGGGGCCGGGGGAGCCCACTCCGCCGGACGAGCCCACGCCGCCGGACGAGTCCGCGGCGGCGCCGGCGGAGGCAGAGGAGCAGGCCGCCGAGGAGAGGCAGGTACGGACCCGCCCTCCCGGGCGCCCCTTCCCACTCTGAAGCCAGGTACCCTCCGCGGCTCGGCGCCCCCTGGCGCCCCCGGCAGAGCCGAGAACCTGGGCCCCAGTCTTGAGCCGGGCTGCCTCAGGGAGGGCAGGAGCCCGCGGACGGCAGGAAGGGAAGGTCCCGGCGTGCAGATTCAACGCCCTCCTCCCCGAAGTGTCGCCGAGCCTGTCGGAGTTGTGTTTTGTCGCCTGGCTGGCTTTCCTCTTCTTGGCCTCTCCTCCCCCGGCACGGGTCATACCCCACTCCCCACCCCTCACCCTCCAGCCCACGGGTTCCCAAATCCACGTGCATGTGGCTTGTTTCAAAGGTTGCAATGACAGTTGTCTTGATAGTGGAAAATATAATACTTAAAGAAAAGAAAGAAAAAAAGGAAAGCTGCCTTTTCTTTTTAGACTAATTTGAAATCCAGATTCCTGAGTCATTTATTTGTGAAACCCATTGGGTGGGACTGAAAGAAAGGCACCGGACAGTTGCAATCCTTTTTATTGCCGTTTCCAAACTGCACGGCGCTTTGCACACTCCCCCATGGGCTGCAGATCAGTCGGGCCAGCGTGCAGTGAGGAAGCAGGGTAAGGCCCTCCTGCGGCACAGCTGAGACCCCCAAAGCCTCCCTCCTGCTTCTGCAGTCCAGCAGCTCTGTCCTGACCCCGCGGCCGCCGTCTTGCTTCAGGATATCCAGATGGCCGTCTCATGGCTTGTGGGCACTCCTCTGCCCAGCCCGATACACTTTTTCCGACGTATCTCTCTAGATTGGAAGCCTAGTTGCCAGGCGTGAAGCCACGCACCTTCCCAGGACTTCAGCACCCTTGGCCCTTCCAGGCCACCAGCAAGGGTCCAGAGCCTGATCAGAAGGCCTTGTTCTGACTCCTGAGGTCCCTTTCTTGGAAGGGAGGATGGCCAGGACGGTCAAAACTGTGAGCAAGCTGCTTTGGTGCGTTGTGACCATGTCTGCAGCTCCCACTCTGAATTTTGCTGGACACAATGGTTTATACTGGAGAGAACCCTTGCGGGGAGGAGGAAGCAGCGAGGCTGGGCGGAGGCATTTCTCTTTGCTGAGTAATTGTTCCAGACCCCCTGTGAGCAGGCGCTTTGCTTGACAAGCGGGTGACTAATTGTGTCATTAGAGTGTATTCTGACCAGCCTGAGGAGAGCTGCTGTATTCATCCCAGGGAGCATCGAGGCCCTGTGGTTCTTGCTGATCTCACCTGTGGTGATGGCAGATGGGGTTTGGACGTGTGCTGATGTGTTAGGTTTGCTCCCATATTTAGGATTCTCTTGGGAACAGGGGAGGTATAGGGGCTGTTCCCAGGCTGCCACTTGCTCTCAGTCAGCCCTGCTCCTAGAGTTAACACAGTGGCCACTTTGCACCCAGAAGCAGCTTCTGGACTGAAGTTTAAAATGTTCTGTATGGAATTCCCTGGCGGCCCAGTGGTTAAGACTCCACGCTCCCGCTGCAGGGGGCCCAGGTTCGATCCCTGGTCGGGGAACTAAAATCCCGCATGCCACATGTCGCGGCCAAAAATAAATGAATAAATAAATACATAAATACATAAATAAATAAAATGTCCTTTAGTGGTGCTCAGTCATCTCCATCCTCTGGGTTACAGCACTTCTGAAAGAACTTTCTACAAGGCCTCTAGGCTCTCGGCAATATGATATCTATGTAAGGGGTTTAGTGGTTCTTTAAAAAGCAGCCCTGGTTTGCCTCTGGCTGGGAGAAAGCAGGTCCTGTGAGGGCGAGTGGGGGCTTCGAAGGACAAGGCACCTTACGGAGGCTGGTGTGGTGGACACAGCCTCGGAGCCGGTGCGCTGCCACAGCAGACGACTGTGACGGTTGAGGCTTGTGCGTCCCTCCTTCCTCTCCACGGCCTGTCCTGACGTGATCCACCCAACGGGAGAATTAAGTTTAAGTCCACTTCCTCCTTTGGAGGTCTCGCCCTTCCCTTTTGGGTTCAGGTCTCCAGCCTTCTCTGAGCTAGCAAGCCCACGTTGACTCCAGCTGTGCACAAGGCCCTGGGCCAGGTGCTGGGGGACACAAATATCCACTGTTACCCATTCCCCCGCCTTCCCGGTGGTGGGATTACCCCGAAAGGAGCTGCTAGGAATTGTCTGGAAATGGACTTGGGCATTTTCGAGAGCAGGTCCCACTGCTTTCTTCTGATGATCACACTGCCCAATCCTGGAGAGCAGACCGGAAGGCCCACTGGGGAAAAATAACTCAAGTCTGGGTTTGGGAAAGCAGCACAGACGCCCTCAGCCAGCCTCTCCCTAAGTGAGCCGCAGCAGTGGGAGTGGAGGGGGGGGCAGCCCCAGCTGCTGAGAGCGAGCGGGAAGGCACAGCCCCAGCCCCCGGAGAGTGGCGCTTAACTCACCTCTCCCCTCCCCCCTGCTTTTTCCATTCCAATCCAATCGCCTTCCTTCTTGGCGAGGCCTGGGAGGCCTGGGGCAGCTGCTGCCCACGCTCACAAAGCTGATTATTGAGAAGGATCCAGAGCCCAGGGAAGCAGTCTTCCGCTGCGGCTGCGGGTCATGGGGAAGCGTCCCCTCGGCGCAGGAGAACCAAATCGCATGAAGGGCCTCCATGAGCTGGGAGGCTGAACTGGGACTGAAGAAATGCGGGCAGAGCAGCCAGGGCAGAGAGGCCGAGCAGAGGGCAGAGTTGTATTGTGAAACCTCTTGTCATTTCTCTCCGAGGGATTAGTGTGGGAGCGGGCAGGGGAGGGGGCGGGCATGCCCCAGCATGCCCCACCCTCACAAAGAACTATGGAGCACAACGTCAAGAACAGGAGCTGGTCCCTTTTAAGCCCAGGAAACGGTGCTTTTTGGGTGCTGAGGTATAGGTTCGGATTTTAGGATTTGCAGGCCTCTTACCTAATGGAGATGTGGATTCTAGCAAGGCTGTATTGTAGGATACCAAACAGTGGTCATGGGCAAAGGGTCAAGTGTCATTCAGTAGTACTAGAGTCAAATCGCTCTGTCTGTGACAGGACTCAGACATCCTGGTGCTCGGGCCCTCAGTCTACTCAGATATGGAGTAGGGACTTCCTATAAGGCAGTTGGCCAATGTCACAGGCAGGGGGACTGTTCGAGATTGAAGGAGACTAAAGAGACAGGAAAGACAAATGAAATGCCTGATCATTGATTGGATTCTGGATTTGGGGTCGGGGGATGGAGCAGGGGTGTGGGGAGCTATAAAGAATATTTGGGGGACTTCCCAAGTGGTCCAGTGGTTAAGACTTCGCCTTCCAATGCAGGGGGTGCAGGTTCCATCCCTGGTCGGGGAGCTAAGATCCCACATACCTGGAGGCCAAAAAACCAAAACATAAAACAGGAGCAATATCGTAACAATAAGACTTAAAAAAAAAAGAATATTTTGGAGATAACTGGATCCTGTGTCAAATGAATGGTTTATTAGATCATTTTATTGTATCGATGCTCACTTTCTTGAGTGTGATGCCGGCATTGGACATGTAGAAAAATGTCCTTGTTCTTAGGAAGGTGCATGCTGAAATGTTTAGGGATAAACATGTCATGATTCAAATAGTCCCGCACACAGATCATGGGTGTGTATGGAGAGAGAGTACAAAGATGGATGGAGAAATGTTAAGGGTTGGTGAATCTAGGTGAAAGGGTGTATGAGTGTTCATTGTATTATTCTGTCAACTTCTCTGTAGGTTTGGAATTTTCCAACATACAGTGTCGGGAAAAAGGAACCCAGTGGGGAATTTCTCAGGAAACGGCTTGGTTTTTCGGGCACTCTAGGGGTGCTGGTCTGATTGAGCTGCAGAGCCTCCTCTGTCTGCCCTCGCCATGCAGCTGGGCCCTGGTTCACCTTTTCTGAAGTTATCTTGCTGTTAAGGTCCATCTTGTCACCAGCCTTGTCACCGCAGGCCTGCCCCCCGGGAGCTGCAGAGCCCCTAGCCCTCCCAGAATGATCAAGAAGCAGGTAAATCCCATCCCCCATCATCTGTCCTGAGCTTCATTTATTTTTTTTTCTTTATTGTATTTTCTTTTCTTTTCTTTTTTTTTTTCATGTCCTGACCTTCGTGATGTCAGCACGACTCCACCTTTCTGTTCTCTTAACAGAAGCCAGTTTAGTGGAGGCTAACCGATATCTGGCAGTTGTTCATACCACTTTGAGTCCACTCGGGCTGCTATAACAAAGTACTGTAGATTGACTGGTTAAAACAACAGACATTTATTTCTCCCAGTTCTGGAGGCTGAGAGTCCAAGATCAACGTACTGGCAGATTCGGTTCCTGGTGAGAACCCACTTCCCAGCCAGCTGACAGCTGCCTTTTTGCTGTGTCCTCACACAGCACAGAGGACACTCTGGTGTCTTCCTCTTCTTATGAGAGCCCTAACCTCATCATGGGGGCTCCCACTGTCATGACCTCATTAAACCTAATTGCCTCCCCTAGGTCCCACCTCCGAGTACCATCACATTGGGGGTTCAGCATATGGATTCTGGGGGATACAAGCAGTCTGTATCAGATCTAGTGATTTTCTGGGGGGGGTGGGAAACAGAAATAATCCAAATGTCCATTAATTAGGACACTAGATTAGTAAGCAAATTGGTAGAAATAAGTAAGGAAAAAAGCCGAACACAAAACAGGAATTATGTCTTCACAATCATCACAATGATGTACATCAACTAAACAAGATGACGCAGAGGGCTGGAAGCAGAGTTCCGCGTTTAGAACTGCAAGAGGGTATGTTTTGTAAAGTTCTTTAAGCTCATAATTTTTTGTCATATGAGAAAGAAGTTGGGGCTTTCCTAATAGCTAAATTTCGTTCATCCTTTCAGAGATAGAGTCTTGTTTGCACATAGAAAATGTAGCTGTCAGAATTTTTCTACTTAGTGGGAAGACCTAAACTCCTAAAGAACATGCTTAAGACGAAAGCTGTCTGCCTTCAGAGAGTTAGAAATAAAACATTGAGCGTGTTCACTTTTAG